ACCATTTTCTTGCTGCTTTGGGAGAAAGCCATGATTTTGCTGTGATTAGTACACTTTTAACAATCTGGAATAAATTCCTGATCTTATTCATGTGACTAGTCCAATGCCCATTTTTATGTTTTAGTGCAAACCCCTACATATGTGCCTGTAATACCACGAAAATACGATGTTTCTTTGCAGAATTTTTTATAGAATTTGGATGCTGATCAAAGATTTTTAGAAGTGGAGAACTAATGCAGCTTGACCACGTAAATGATTTTTTTTTTTTTAATGAAAAAGACTTTAGCATGTATCGCTTTTTCTCTCTCCATCGTTTGTGTATTCCATTGTGCTAATCTTAAATAATGGATCCATATCAAAGTTAATAAATTAGGAACTATTAGCAATTTGGATTACAGTAAGTAGCCCAATGACACTATGTTGATATTGAGTTTTTTGTTTTTCAACAGTACAGTTTGAGTTTTAAAGATAAGACAAAACAAAATAGGTTTGGCAAATATTTGAATCCCTAACAACTCAGTAATGGGTAGCAGCTTTGTTTAAATCCCAGGGCCCGGCTTTAAGTGCATTTTCCTTTAAATGGTCATAAAAAACAGACTTTAAGATCCATGATTTTCTCAAAACCTTCATTTCTGCCTCCATTCGATTGAAGCACTGTGTTGCACTACATCAGTCATGCCATGTTATGAAACCTAACGTGATGTGACAGATGCAGGCTGACGTGATGTGTCACAAAGCAACGTATCAGATCACAGACTTGAAAGAAAGAAAACAAACTTTTCTTCTCAAAGTCTAAATTAACAAAGCAGCATATATATTTTTAAAAGATGGACTAGTTTCAAACACTAGGGGATTTTTCTATATACTGGTTCCAGAGCAAGGTGCTCTGTTCTGCCCAGAAAGTATGTCCATACCAGGCTCCTTGCTCTCTTCAGGGTACAGTTAAAATTAGGGACAGCCCAAACCATCTCAGCACTGCTGACCTTTCTGGGCCTGATCCTAAAAGGTTTGGATCGCTTTCAGAGGACTGGTTCAGCAGGTGCTGAAGGTAATCACCCCTTCTGAGGCAGTCTGCCCCACCTAAAACTGTTACAGTTCTTGGAGTCCAGCTACCATTGTTGTTATTTTAACTATTTTATTAATATTATTTTGTGCAAGTTCAATATTCTTAGTATCTCAGCTTCGGTCAAGAGGATTAAGAAGTCCCTTCACACACTTAGTTGCATACTTCGTAGCATGTTACTCTGTAACATGGGATTATTTCAGCTGCAAACATTATGCTGTCCCCTATCCTTTTTGATTTTTGATCTGAGAAAGACGTACCATAATTTGTTCTCTTTGTTGGCCCACCTTTAACCTAATTCTCTTCACGACAGATGCAATGCATTGCATGTTACCTCCTGAACTATCAAGAAGATTTTTTTTTAAGGGCTTTCTTATAATTTTATTGAAAGATATATACTGGGTAAAATATATATGAACTATAGCATGCTAAGAAAGAACCTACCAACCACTGCTAGATAAAACGTTATAAATTTATTGCCAAGTTATCTAGGAAGGGTTATTTTAAGAGCCTGCTGCCCACAACAAGTTTTTGAGCTATAGTTAATGGATGGGCTACCTAAGAGAAATGGGCATTATCCTTCACCCCTTAGTTACAAACAAATTGCAGATATTGTCATCTTTGCAAGTGAAAATAATCTCTAGTTTTTGTACTACTTCTGCTGTAAACAATGTACCACTTGCTTTCCTATGACCCTCACTCTGTATACATATTTATATATTATTCATACTAGATTAAAAATGAATGTGCTCTTTACCACAGTTGTACTGCATAGTGACAGTACAGATTAACTTATTGTGTACTTACTTTTCACAAGACAGTGATGTGAAATTTTGATGGCCTGAAAAAGTAAGTTGTGGGGGAGGCAACGCTGAACTGAATCCTTCTAGGTGCATTTTATATTGTCTGATTTAGTAAAGTTGGTTGAATTAATAAATGACATTCTCTGTATGGAGTTACACAGGCTTGAACTTGGTTTGGTGGTGGGCAGAAAGTGTTTGCTTCTATCTGGCACATATGAGGCTGTTAGTGCTATCCGTGCTCTGTGGATTCCTTGTTTAAAATTTGTGGGGGGTGGTCCAGGCACAAATTGATCATTTAATGGTAGCTGCTTATGGGCAAAGAGTTAAGCGCTGTCTGGTGAGATCTTAAGCTGTTGGCTAGCAGTACACATTCTAGCTAGAACTGACCAATTTTTTCCATGATTCACGGTGCCTGATGCATTTTAGGAGTTGGATGTTGGGCACATCATTCCTGCTTGCTCCACGAGCCCAGACCTTTGTGTCCGTGCTCCCTGCGTGCTGCTGGTGGAAGCAGGTACCAGATGTTATGTCCTGGGCACATCCAGCTGTTGGCTGTAGCAGCATACAAGGTCCAGAAGGGCAGGATAGTCTTTGTCTTTTTCCATAGCATTGGTAAGAATGGAGTAAATAAGACTCGAGGGCAAGTTGTACCATTAGTCACATCTCAGCAGCGCATCTTCCGTTCTTAGCAAAGGGCAGTCATTGGATGGTCAAACGAACCACAGGGAATACTGGAAGGGAGCTGGTAGTGTGGTGTGGATACAATCATGGTAGTGATTGTGACAGTGGCAGGTCTTTATCTTTTGCAGAAAGAGAAAAACCACTTCAGTTCTTCACAGAGCAAGTTTCCTTCTCCTTTACCCAGTGCTTCATCTGTTGTTTCAGCACAGTGTGTGTTCACAGTGTTTCAGCACCTCCCTGAGCGGAATATGCAACAGCCACTTATTTCCCTCTGGTCAGAGGTATTACCCTGGAGGGAAAAAAAAGAAGAAAAGAAAGAATCCAGAACTCAGCTGTGAATTCTGGTGACTGTTTCTATCTCTTACCATCAAAGAAGGAGATATAATGATTTTATTACTTTTGTTGTTGTTGTTGTTGTTGTTGTTTTCCTGAGTTTTCAAGTATTTCTAGATTTTCTGAAACAAGATCCGATTTTCTCTGGACCTTCTTCACATCCAGACAGTTTTGAGAGGGCTTCCAGTTTTCAAAACTAATATATTCTAATTTTTTCAAGCATATTTGTGGTCCTGTATTGATTTTAGGACTGATCCTAAGAGGCACTAGGGACATCTTCAGTCTCTTGTTTGACTATTTCCTCATATCTTTCAGTTGATTTTTTTTTTTCTATAAAAGCCCAAACCATTTTCTGTAACTTTTTCTATGTAGTTCTTTTTTCCATTGCTATTGCTATGAAATTTTCCACTGAAATTTAACTTTGTAAAGATTAGCAGCTTGTAGATTTCATTGCTTTTTCCTTATGAAGTTGTTGATGGAAATGTCTTTATTTACCTCAGGAGAGAATGAGATCAACCCAATCTCTGTCCCCAAATTCATGCATAAATGTGCATATTAGAGGCCTTGAGGGTTGGCCACCCTTTTGGCAATCTTTAAATTGTAAAAGCAAAGGATGGAAGGACTTTTTCATCCTTGTTGAAGGAAACTTGCCTGTAGTCATCAAGCATTGGTTTTGGGTAACTGTGTACTGGACTTGATGCTTCTTTACTCTGAGTAGCGGGCAGAATGTTTGGGGGAACTCAGCCTGGTATTTTTGTTGTTACAGTAAAAATAGCAGATTATTTGCGCAACCCAAAGCACTGCTGGTTCAGGTGAATTTCCTCTGCCCGAGATGCTCATGCTTGTGTGCCACCAGCAGTGCAAGGCTAAACCCAGCCAAGGCTAACTCCCAGGCTGTGAGTGCTGCGGGAACATTCCTACTCCTGTACAAGCAGCATTGGACCAGTGCGTAACCAGTATCCATTTGCTTTTCCATTACATTACCACCTAAAATTGGTCCCAACCCCTTCCCATGTAGTGGGGAGTGTAGTCCTCTTCTGCTACGCCAGCATCTGGTTTGTGCCTGCTGGGTAGTAACACAACAGCAGAGGAAAATGTGCTCTTCAAATGTGGAGATAGGGTATTGTTTTTCACTTATTCTGGCTTTATGTAGACAGTCTGGCACATTTATTTATTCATTTATTTGAGCAAATTAAAGCAAGCTAAGTGCATTTGACCTCAGATGGTCCTGGTTTAAGTTAATTTGAAAGACAAAGCTCATAAAGTTCCAGTAAAACACATCAACAACTTCCCAGCATAGGTTGAAATGTGATTGCTGAAACATAACCTCCAAAACCAGATACAGCATGAAGATTCAAAGTCACAATAATCTGAAAAATATGGGAGAGCATATTGATAGAGTTACTAAAAGTGATATCTTTCATTCATGCCTTCATTTTGCAGACAGTTGCTATTTCACACACAAGAAGTGCATCTATCAAATTCTGTGAATTAACATTTCTTTTTTAATCTGGTTTGGACATTTATTTTGGAGCTGGTGATAACCTTGTGCCCCAACCCCGCAAACACATCTCTGCTTGTGTTTCTTTACTCACAGGAGTAATCTCACTGGAGTAAATATTTGCAGGTTTGAGGCGTCGGTTATCTCAATCCATTATTTCTTTCCATTAAAAAATAATCTCTGTGGTTAAAATAAAACATACAGTTCTTGACTCAGAAACTCACCCAAAGACAAAGTATGGTTATTAGATGAAGGGTCTGTACATTGTCATCCCTGAACTGCACTTCAATAAAAAAGATAATTAACAAGTCTAGAAGGCAGTCTAGTACATGATTGCACCATATTTACAAGAGTTTAGTTTGGATCATGGGCTGATGGATTTACAGCTGGGTGTGAGGAGGGAGACAAAATAGCTGCACTTTTCCCAAAAACCTGAAGCAGAGGCTTTTAAAAATGCAGTTTCTTGAAACCAGCAAATCACAAGCAGCACAAATTTCTTATTCTTGCTGAAGTCACACAGCGACTTCCTTCAGCAGGAGAGCTTTCAGCTGTGGCGTGTTTCACCAGAACATTTACTGTAAACAGAGAAAAACTAACCAGCCTTTTTTCCTTTGTGCAGGTCACCGGCCCTTCCAGTGCCGATACTGCCCCTACAGTGCCTCTCAGAAGGGGAACCTGAAGACCCACGTGCTCTGCGTCCATCGCATGCCTTTCGACAACAGCCAGTACCCAGACCGCAGGTTCAAGCGCTCCCGGGCAGACTCGGAAGCCCCAGGGAGCCTAGAGGAGGCTGCAGGCCGGGTGGGGAGCTCGGCCGAGCAGGCTGAGGACGGTGGCCAGGCCCAGGAGTAGGGCTGCCAGGCCCAGGAGTAGCGCACCTGGCCAGGCCCTCATGCTGTGCGGGGCTCTGGCTGTGTACTGGGCCTGAGGTGGCTGGCTGCACTGTGGGCAGAAGAATTGTGTGCCAGCTTCCAGACGTGTACAGGATGCTCCCAACATTTAAGTATATATATATGGATACGTATGCACAAACGCATATATATATATTTACACACATGTGCTCAAATACAGTCATATACCCATTAAATATATATCTTCATTCGCACACACACACACGATCCCTCTGTGTGTGTGTGTGTTTAAGTATATATATTACACATGCAAAATAAATCTCCAGCCCTTGAAAATGGCTGCTAAACTGTTACCTGGCAACAAGTACTTCCAAACAATGTAGGTGGGATAATAAAGTGATCTAAAAATGCTAGGGGGCCGTTAGTTATTAAAAAAATAATAATAGGGCAATTTCAAACTTTGAAGTGGTCTTTGTCCAAAAACAATGCTCTTAACAGAAAAAAATGATAGTGTCTAAACGATTTAGTGTTGCCTTGAAGATTGAGGGGCTGTGTGTTTTCATTGTTGAAAACACCTTTATAATATGACACCAGCTGCTGTCATTTGCCTAGCATAGTAATGAGATGTGTTGGTAGACTGCCATGGTGCCAGTCTGACTGGAGCTGTCATTGCAGAGAAAATCAATTTGAGTGGTGTTGCAACTGCAGTACAGGAGAAACCCTAGATGGCCCACAAGCTAGGGTCAGTACTGACCTGTACTGACAAGTATTGCGATATTATGTTTTCCCATTTTTCTTTTTTCTTTTTCTTTTTCTTTTTCTTTTTCTTTATATATATATATATATATATATATATACACACAGCCAAATGAATCAATGGTTAAAAAATATCTGCATACCAACGTGTGACTGCAGATTTGAAGTGTAATTCCATTTTTTTTAATCATCTTGCAGTATTGAGGGAAATGCTTTTATACTTTTTTTTTTCCTTGTTGATGAAGAAGTAAGTTGCTATAAAAGTAAAAGTACAACATATAGAAATGTTGTTTAGTGAAACTAGTCAGCCTTATCTGTAGAAGGTGCTGGTGAGAAACAGATTTTTATTACATAGAGGGTTCGTACTTTTTCTTTTTCTATTCTTTTCATGTTGTTTTCTATTAAATTTCCTTTAAATTCCCGTTTTTATACTTAAATGAAGGATTCCCTAGCCACAGTTAATTTTCATGTGTTAGTTTTTATATAAGTGTTAAAGACATAGCGCAGAAGTTTCTTCTGGAGCAAGCTCTTATAAAGTAGCTTCACCAACACTATGAATCCAAATTTCCTGCTCTTTGTCTCTAATGAAGAAAAATGTTTTAGCTGATTTTTTTGTTTTGTTTTTGTAAAGCAAATCATTTGTATATTTTTTGTAGATTTTAGCTTTTTTATTGATTGGATGCTCCAAATTTATTAAGTTCTTTGCCACATAAGAAGCTTTTGAGAGTCTATAATGAACCACATACATTAAAAACAACAAAAAAGTAAGAAAAATAACTAAAGTTTTATACTGAAAATCTCTGAATGGCATAAAATTTTAGCCTTGTAATGTACTTCCTTTGATAGAAGCAAAATTGGTGCTGTTTATTGTGAAGGTAGAGAAATATTAACTTCTTCTAAAACAAAATCATGCAGACTTAAAAAAAAAAAAAAAAAAAAAAAAAGTCAATATTTCTTTGCAGGCTGGGAGCACAGAGTAAAACCCCAGGGCCTTAAAACTTCAGCTCTGCCTAAAGCAGTTTACAAAAAATACTTAACTGCAATCAATGTAAATAAAATTCTTAGCGCTACCCTGAGACTGGAAAAAAATCTCAGGCTAATAAGGAATACGGTTTGCATATGCTGTCGGAAATGATGTCATTCAACTGAAGTTTCAGTTTAAATGAGGTCACTGTGTAACTTGGACCCATCTGGCACAGAGCAAGCTGCTTTTCTTGTTTTTCTAGTATAGTTCTCACTGCCTTACTTAAATCGAGTTGATAAACTTAATGCAACTGTTTCTATGATCCTAGATAAAGGATTAAAATGTTATTGAAACTTTCTGACTGTAGTAAGCTTTAGGATTTTAACTGCACTACTGTGTTTGGTGACTGTGTCAGTCGCTTGCTTTTGTGTGTTTGCGCCGCCTTCAGTATCTTAGCAAAAAACAAAACAAAACAAATCAAACAAACAAACAAAAAAAGCCCACGCTGCCCCCATTCCATTTCTTGCACTTTTGGAGCTCTTTCAGTATTCTTTTGTGTCTTCTGAGCATTTTCAGGTACGACAGGCAATAATTCTGTTTGTGACACTGGAAACATCTCTCGTTCTTTGTGATGTGTGTGTTGATTCCATTTGGTTGGGTGCTACTGTCCCTATTCTCCCCTCTGACATAGACCTTTTTTCCAGAACATTTGTAACTTGTAATACAAACAAGTGACAGCAGCAGTGATGCATTGTCGGTTTCTGAATATCATCATGCTTCTCATATCTAAACATGTCAAGTTTTTTCTCTGTAACTTCTGTAGTCTGTGATATGGTCATAATACTGTCTACATTCCTACACAAAGAAAAATTTCTATCTTGGAGGAAATCTGAGATCAATAGAGTAGAGGATTTTGTTGCTATGCTTGTAACAATTAGAAAACTTTGTATTTAAAGTTTATTCTTGGTCATTATTTATTATTAAAATACATCAGTTGACAGAACTTTATTCTGGTATAGAAGTATTAAAAGTTGTTTTTTCAGCAATGACTGTTTTCTTTCTGCTGTTAGAATAAAAATGTCTTTGAAGCAGTACAGTTTTATCCAGTGTTTTACGCAATAAAACCTCTACCTCTGAAAAAAAGTTTTCCTACTTGCTTATGTTTATTAGGAACAGCAAAAACATTATTTTCTGTAGCTTTGTCAGATTTGAAAAAAAAAAAAAAAAAAAAGCCAGTAAATTCACAGTTGTTAGGCAGTTACTGGAGTGTGTTGCTGGGTGTGTGTGCTCAGTCCACTTATTAATCCGAACAAATCTATATACAGTATATACATATATATTATATATTGTGCTTAATGAAAAGACTGTGGAAATCTGTTTTAGCATGTAGTAATAATTGTTTTATACACTACTATTATGTACTATAGAAAAAGTCTTGGGGTCTATCAAGCTTTGATTTGAAAGTGTTTGAAGTGTGTATCATACACTATTATGTATAAAGTCATGTTTTCACATTAAAAAAAATTGTTTGTATAGATCATATATTTGGCTTTAGAAAATTGTGAGGTTTATTGTTATGATGCATGTTAAGAAAGTTGCCTATGCTTCAAAGAATTTGCAAGTACGATAGCCCTCCTGTATTCCTAGATGAACCTTTATTCTTCCTGTGTATGGTTTGGTTTGCCTAATTGAAACACACCAAGTTAGAGGATTTTTCATTTAGTAGAAAAAGTAACAATGATTAAAAAAAAAAAAAAAAAAAAAAAAAAAGATGATGCACCAAATCTAAGAAACTACAGCCAATATGGGGAAGAGAAAGAAACCTTGCACAAAAAGCTGAGGAGGAAAATACATTTAGAAAATGCAAAATTTTAAGAGTAGATGAAACCACAATAATAATGTTATGTTGTACCTTGAATACTCCACTAGAAAAAGATATAAAATTGTCTATAACGGCTAAAAATCAAATAGGAACATCATGGAAATTCAGTTATTCAGTGGCTGTAAGTTGAAGATCGGAATTGAGGTTACCCATCGATTCATAGAGGGCACATGCACAGGGGGAATTTTTGAGCTGATACAAAATTCACTGATGTCCAGGGTAAATAACAAAGGTATCTGCAAAGAATGAAATACCAAATTTTAATCAAAATCCCAGAAGATAATGAGCGATTTTTATATTTTATAAAATTTAAATCTTTCACTCCCTCTCTGGGTAGAAACCACTCTTCCTGGGCACAAAGTTAGAGTATTTAAAAATGTTGATTCAGTGTGGATGGTAGACCTGAACTCTTCCTCATTGCAGGATGATTGTCTTTCCCAGTAATCAACACACTCAAGAGCTGGGGAAAAATCATGGTTTGGGGGCAGGAGAGAGGGATCCCAAAGATTTTCCAGCTTTCTAATGGTTTCAGTAGACAATAATTCAGAAGTTGAAAGCCATACTAATTAACAATGACCACCTCTATAGAAACGCTTCCAAATAAAACCTCCTAACTTCCGCTGCACACCAAGCAGTAAGTGGTATCCTACAGGAAATGCTTTAGAAGAACCCTCCAAGTGGTCTTGCTCCATGAAACCATTGATCACTAAGGGGAGCCTATGGAAAACAGTCTATGAAGAAGAGAAAAGTATTTGTCTCACAAAAATCTGTTTGTGGAAATTTTTAACAGGCAGATGATGGGCAGTCTTTATAATGCCGACGGTGGGTACCTCGATAAGGGACTTTCCACCTAATGTCAGAAAGTTGCTCGTGGCTTTAAGGCACTGATTCTTGCTGAAATTTTTGTAAGGACTATAACCTCTCTGTCTAATGCAATTTAGGAATTGAAAATTTCCCCTGTTTTGTAACAGTACATTGTAAAACTCTCACTTTGTGTATTGTAAGCATGACCCCAGTGAAATTATTCTTAAGTATTTTGTTTTCCATCTCTGGATATTTCTGCCTGGCATGATCCACCAAAGGGGAAACACATTTCCATGGGGGAAGTTGGGGGGAGGAGAGAAAGTAAAACTGTGGTGAACGGTAATGCTGAAAATGTAATCCAGCAGAGGATTGAGAATTGTTCAGCAGCTACTCACCTGTTGGCGTAGCTGAGTGTGTTTTTTGTTTGGTTTTGTTTTGTTTTCAGCCAAAAGGTCTCAGTGAACAGGGAAATTGCAGGAAAAGAGGAAGAAGAAAATTTAAATGATCCCAGAGTGAACTGTTTTGCTGTTAATACAGAAATACAGAGCAAGACACATTTAATGGGCTCTATTTTTTATTATACTATGCTGAATAATTAAGTTTGAGGCTAAGTGTCACATAGATTTATCTTTTAATTAAAAAAGCATGGTTCACGCATATTTGAGTGGTAGTCCAAATAAATGCAATATAGAAATTTATGTTTGTTTATCTAGGTGTTAATTACCTAGAGATTGTTCTGGATTACTTCTTTTTATAAAGTGTCATAGGCTCATGTCACAAGTAATAAAGCTTAACAGTGGAACCTTATCAATTTGCTAACTATAACGCTAGTGTGACCTGGAGGAAAGGAAAAAAAAAAACACCTTTGGAAAACATTCTCTATGTGTACCCTGTTCAACACATAAAAACCACATGCCGAACAAAGCAATCATTTTTAAAATGTTCTCATAAGTAAAAGTACAAATATATCTTCGGTATTTTACAGCCTTTCATACATGTAATTATTTATATAACACTGTTATTCATGCCCATGTACTACATGTTGTGCAAAGACAGACATGGTAAGCAACAAAATGTAGTTTACCTGGTGGGCAAGTTATTCATTTAATGTACAAAGTAACACTTATGAAGACTGAATGCTATATTTAAAGCAAGAAGTAGAAGATGCAATTTTCTTAATATTTTAAAGGTTTTACAGTGTTGCTAGCAGCCGAGTGGCGGGGAAATACAAACTGAGGTCTTAAGATAAAAAATTACTCATTTCAGTGGTGCAAACAGAGGAAAAAATTGTGTACGGATGCAAATTGTTCATCAAATTCTCTGTCAGTCCATTTTTCTCTTTGTTTATGACCAGAATTTATATCACTGCTCTGCAGAGCCACATGGAAGGATGCTGAGTACAGGCAGAGAAAGCAAACTTCACGGTACAGTCAAGCTTAGGGGCTCTCCACTGCTGGTGTAAATCATATGATTCCCACTGCATCTACCCAGGAGAGTGCCTGCCCCCAGGATTTGAGAGACTGAGAAATCTTTTCATTTCTATCAGAAACACAAACAGATCTATTTTGGAGGTTACTTATTTATGCTTTTCTGATGATTTACTTTGACTATGAGTTCTGATGACTTACACCAGGTTTCTGTGTGTTGTGTAGCAGGCATTTCTGAGAAAATACACTTAAAATACACTTACTGATATTGCAAAAAAATCAATGAAAATTATTCTCCATGCTCACAATCATTAATTCGTACTTGACAGGTCCTCAAAACATGAAGAAAGCTGGAAATAAGGGTTTCTTCTCTTTATTACACACCAGTTATTTGTGTAGACATAGCCACTGCAAGCTTTGCCTCATGCACATGCAGTAGCAGGATATAAGTTACATCTTCATAGCTGAGGTGAAAGGTAAATCAGATCTTTTTTTTTTTTTAAAAAAAAAGGTAACAAGTGTTAGCTAGATCCTTAGAGATAACTAAAATACCTTTAATTTTCAAGGACTGAAATTCATGTATATATTTATATATATAATATTTGTATATGTATATACACAACTATATACACTTTGCAAACAATTTTAGTTTTTCTGTGTCTGATTTGCAACACTGTAAATAAGTCAATAATGGGTATTCAGCATTTCTGAAGACCAGCCAGTTGCCAAAGAGCATAAATTTGGATGGAGGGGTTGAATATCTGAGCCACTGGATGTGATGAATCATTGTCCTCCTGAAATTCCAGCAGTGTAAAGTTGAAATAACACGATGGTGAGTCAGGACTAATATTAATAAAGCTACAGAAAAAGAAAATGTCTCTTTGAAAAGGGAATTTGTGGAGATGACATCCTTAGTGTTGTGTGAGATATTGCAACACAGAATATGTGATTTCTCTTTAGGTTGTGCCACTGCTCTTCCTTTTATTTTATTTTATTTTTATATATATTTTATTCTGGGGGGATTGTTTTGTTTGAAAGAAGTTGATGAATGAATGAATGAAACACAAGGAGTAATAAAGAAAAATGGAGCTATTAATCCCAACAGAGAAAATATCTCTTTTGTTAAAAATCTCTCATACAGTATCTCTGACTATGGGACATCTGTCTTCACGAGAGAATTAGTGCTCCTGATTTGTGCTAGTTCTTAGTGTATTGCCCATGGAAGCTACCACCTCAGCAAAATGGTAACAGCATTGGGTAAGGGACTGCTTACTCCCAATGAAGACAACTGACCATTTTCTGTGCAAAAGTTTGCAGCAAAAAATGCAGTCTGTATTTGCTTTTTGCCAGAACATTCCATATTTCCCCTTTGGAGCTATGTATCCATGCACCAATTGCCATTTTTTTTCTTCTCTCAAACCTAACTGGTGGTATTGGTGTAACTGAACCCAGCTCAAAATGCAGTAAGGAAAAGTTTCATTTTCATTTAGCTTTGACAGACTGGAAGTCTTTTTCATTTCTTCCAAAGCCATTGATCCACCCCATGCTTCCACTGAGCTAAAGCCTTCAAATACCAATTTATGAGAGAACCACCTTGTCTTTAGTGCTATAAATGTTGACTCTTTAATGCCTGCTCCTTCCATGGATGGTGGTAATGGCAAAACACTTCCGATACTCAGGAGCAGGGCCATGATATGGGCATGCTATCAGTGCTCCATGGTATTTGCTTTAGTCGAAATGCTGCTCACCTTCCTGCAACCTCATGGCTGTGTTCATTTTCAGTTCACAGCAGGGATTTCACTAATCTCCATGTAAGCAAGTGTCAGTTGAGCAGTCTCATGCATTTGCTATTAAGCCATAAAACACAATGCATAAAGTAATGCAAGGAAATGCCTGATCCTTACAATGTATATATCAGGATCACAATGCATGACAGCATGGGAATCCCACTCTTATGGAGAGGCTGCCCTGTACTGTGGACTCCCGCTGGACATGATGGTACACGAAGGTGTGCCTTGCCTAGATGGAACTCCAGAACCCCCATGGCTTGGTCAGGGGCTGGGAGATGATGATTTACTGTTCCTTGCTGGCCAGTCCTACCTCCAGCACTGTAACACAGAGCTTTGATTCAAGATGTGAGAGCAATTGCCAAAACACCATCACTGCAAAGAAATGTAACGTTGTTCAGCTAACCCAAAGCTGGAGAGCAATGTCTCCACAGGAAAGCAGGCCTTCATTTCTTTCAGTTAAAACCACTGCTAAGCTCCAACTAACATCAAAAGCACTGAGGCTGGGGGGCAATAAATAGGACTCCAGTGGGAACAGAAAAGTGAGCTAATATGGGGCAGTATTTGACTCTGAGATGAAGTTTAGACCTCTTAAATTCATCATTTACAGCTCACACTGAAAATAGGTGCTTTTCTCCAATGCTTCAGAAATTTGTATTTCAAAGAAGTACTGCACTAAACCAAGGATATCAGCATAAATGCTATGCAGAGGGATTAGCTTTAACCCTATTCATCGATCTCTCCTCACCCCCAGCACTGTCTCGCTCAGGGAGGCATCAACCAGCTTTTGTTTGCAGCTGAAGGAGGATGCAGTTTCATTTCATCAAACAAAAATGATGCAGAATATAGCACATATTGTTCCATTTACTG